CCTTGGAAATGCCTGAGAAGGAATTCAGAAAAATGACTAAACAATGTTTCAAAACACTTTACAATGGAGTTGAGAAAAATATGGAAGAAGTCAGGAAACTGCTACAGAAACAATCAAATAAGATAGATACAGCATTGGAAATAATTCAAAATTTACAGAAAGAGGTCAAAACAATCAATAATAGAATACCACAAATAGACAATACACTGAAAGGGCAAAGGAGTAGAGTAGAAGAGGTGGGTGGCAGAACCAGTGAGCTGAGGGAGAAATCTCTCAGTACCACTAATACAGAAGAGCAAACAGAAAAAGGATTAAAAAGTCTGAAGAGGGTCTAAGATTCATGCTGGACAACATGAAGAGGAATAACTTAAGAATTATCAGCATTCAAGAACAAGAAGAATCACACAAGTCCACAGAGGAAACTGCTGGAAGTTAAAAAACTGCTGGAAGAAAATTTCTCTAACATCCTGAAAAGTGAAAAGATCAAGAAGTTCAACGAACCCCAGGAAGGATAGACCCCAAAAGAAAATCACTGAGACATATCATAATCAAGCTCTCCAAAATCAAAGCTAAGGAGAAACTCCTGAAAGCAGCTAGGGAAAACAGAAGTGTCACATACAAAGGCAAGCAAGTCAGATTAAGTTTGGATCTCTCAGCAGAACCCATGCAAGCAAGAAGGCAATGGGGAGACATATATAAAACCCTGAAAGAAAAAAAACTGCTGACCAAGAATCCTTTATCCAGCAAAGCTATCAATAAAATATGATGGTGTAATCAAAACATTCCAGGATAAACAGAAACAAAGTGCTATTGAGTCTAATCCGGCCCATAGTGACCCTGTATAGGATTTCCGAGGCTGTAAATCTTTATAGGAGCAGAAAACCTCATCTTTCTCCTGTTGAACAGCTGGTAGTTTTGAACTGCTGACTTTAAGGTTCGCAGCCCGATTCATGACCACTATGCTTCCAGAACTAATTGGAATACAACGTGCCCAGTGAAGGAGGCTTCCTGTGGAGCCTCTGCATTACATAAGACCATAGGTGGAATCCTGGACCACATCCAGACTCTTGTGACGTGAGAAATTTCCACTTGAAAGGACAAGCAGACCAGCCTGGAGCGGCTAGAAGAACAGAAGATACTTCTTGAAAGAAAGACCGACAGGAAAAATAAAAAACAATATAAGCAGTCCGACTGATTACTACAAGAACAAGCAAGTTGCTTGCCCAGGAGACATCAAGGCAAGTGATCGGGTCCCCTCAGGGCAAACCTCCTTCCAAGACTAAGACTCAATGGGAATACACGCTCTGATTGGTGACCATATTCGTCACCAATAAGGGGAAGTGGGGGGTGGGGGGAAGCAATGAAGCTGTGAGCTACGCCCTACAATGTTCAATAGACTCTTGTGAACTCGGGGGGAGACCTGGTTGGCCAGAAGTGTGGCAAGACCTGGGGACTCTTCTGCCCAGAGTCAGTGACTTAGCCACAGAGGACTAGAGTGGAGAGTGAAGCGTCCGGCTGATAAGAAAAGAGGGCATATGCATAAGAACACCCACATTTCAGATAATACCCACTTGACCTGGCTTCAATTACTAGATGATCAGAGCTCAACTAGAAAAAGAAAGAAGAAGAAAAAAAAGAGGAGTAATCTGAAAAATTTGATGAACTTGACCTACACCTATGGATGCAGTAGCTCAAAAGAGGGAACAAATCTTTACACCGAGCATCATTCCCACCCCCTCCAGAGTAGACAGGGATGGGCAACTTGGACATTGGCTATCCAAAGTGGGGGTGCTACAAAGGCAAGAAGTGACTGGCTTATAAGCTTTAAGAGGGAATCTAGATCCAGAGGGCGTGGAGGAAGGTAGAAAGTCCACTGAGTAGTATCAATCTGTCTGGGCAGAGCTGATGAAAGGAGATGGAGCTAGGTCTCTTATGATACAATAGTGAATAATTGTTATTAGGATTGCTTGTGAGGGGTGGAAATGTAAAGGTAGATGTTTTTCAGCAAAAGAAGGGGAGTGATTGACTTTGCAGTCTAGGAGCAGAGGTCCCTGGGACCATCAAGGGAGAAGAACAGAGAGCGGGACTCTACCCAGAGAAGCAATGAAGCCAGAGATGGAGGCAGAGAAGATGACGTGAAGAGATGGAGCGGCTGGGGACTCTAGATCCAGAGAGGGAGAGAGGCTGTGTGCTGATGACCAGGGGACAGGCTTACAGGGTATACCCTTTGGTTGGTTGATGATGCATGGAGGGGATTGTAACCATGGCCATGAAACAATATAAAATAGGATGAATGTAAAGCTGATGTTCTCCCGTGTAAACTATCTCATAATTCACAAAAAAACTTTAAAAAAAAAAAAAAAAAAAAAGATAGCATTTCCTGTAAAAAAAAAAAAAATTAAAACAAAATTTATTGCTGTTATATCTGTTCCAACCTAAAAACCCTGTGGGGCAGTTCTACTGTATCACAAAGGGTTACTATTAGCTGAACTTGACTCCACACCACTAGTAGTGTATGAGAGCTCCAGTTGCTCCACATCTTCTTCAAGGCTTGGTTCTGGAAGAACGTTCTCTCTATTCTGGAGGATATTTAATGGTCTTTCATTGTGGTTCCATGTCACATCTTCCTGACGACTAATGGTGCTAGCAGCTTCTCCATGTATACTAGCCATTTGTCTATCTTTTTGTGAAGTGTCTGCTGAAGTCTTTTTAAATTAGATTGATCATCATCTTACTATTGAGTTGTAAGGTCGCAGTGGTGGTTGTGGTGTACCCTGAAGTGTATTCCAAGTCCTAGCGATCCTGTGTAGTGTTTCCGAAGCTGTAAATTTTTATGGGAAAGTACTGCATATATTCTGGATACAAGTCTTTGGTCAGATGTAAATATGATATATATTATTTCCCTTCGTGTGGCTTGCCTTTTTATGGAGTTTTTGTTTTTTGATAGTTTTATTGATATGTGATTTACATGCCCCTTTTGTGAGTTCTGATGGTTGATGCGTTGGGCTGCTAACCACAGTTTGAATCCACCAGTTTCTCTGAGGCAGCTTTGTGCTCCCATAAAGGTTTAAAGGCTCAGAAATCCTGTATAGGGTCGCTTGGATTGGAATTGACTCAGTGGCAATGGGTTTGGTTTGGTTTTTGAGTTTGTTACAGTAGAATATATTTTATTTTAATAAGGTTTTGTAATTACCATTGGTATCTGTGTGTATATGTGGTCAACATTTCTAGTATCTGCCTGCTCCAAAGTTGTGAAGATTTACTCTTATGATTTCTTCAAAAATTTTATCGTTTTAACTTACATTTTGATCTATTTCAAATTGATGTTTATGTGTGCCATTAATTCAAAGTTAAAGTTCATAAAATTCTTTGAAAATAAAAATAAATACAGTAATAAGCTGAGTAAAGTAATGAATAAAACACAGAGCAAAGTAGAATTTGAAAGTCAGGTCATAGACCAAACCTTAAATGGTCCCTGATTTTTCCATGTCACTTTGCAACAAGGTCACTGTAGAGCAAATACCAGGGCTTGAGGGTTCCTGTATAAACGAACTCCCAGGTAGTAATATCCATAAACATACATCCTAATATGTTCACACATGGCTACTCATTTCCACCATTCACTCTGTGGGAAATGCACTAGACTGCAAGGGCAGTTTGAACTGCAAGGTTGGCAGTTCAAATTCACCAACTGCTCCTTGGAAACCCTTTGACAGGGTCGCTATGAGTCGGAACCAACTCGACAGCACTCAACAACAACAATAACAACAAATGATAAAATGAATGAAAACGCAGATGACAGGAAGCAGTAAAATAAAATTTTGGATCTTATCTGACCTCCAATAGCCATGTGACATAGGTAGTTGCCTTTCAGATGTGATATGAGAAGTATGTGACAGGTCCCTATAACAGAAGCATTTCCCTGCTGACTTGTCCCTGTATCCTAACTCCTACCATTAAGATCCACCTTCAGAGGTACAGCATGGATCAACTGAAATCCCCTTTGATAATGCACAGGGCTGAGAAGAAGGGGCTCTGATTTCTTATTAGCTCAATCATGGTCAATACCTTCTTAGGAAATGTAATGCAAGCCCCCGGGGGTAGAGATTGTGTGATCAAAAGGAAAAGAAGCATGAAAGGTCTTGAATAAGGTATTGGAACCTTATTGGACTTCCGTATTGGAACCAAATTTGCTGGCCTAAAAATTGGAACACAGAGTCTAACAAAAGATATTGTTTTCTGATTTATGACATTTTTTCAAATGTTTAACAATGACTCAGCATTGAATCTTTTATCTTTGTTCAGACGATCCCAGAATATCTGGTATAGCTGGCTACATATCATCACCTCCAAATGGCAGACCAAGGAGTGAAGGTTGTGGGGGGCAATTGTAGGAAGAACTCTAAGCAGCCAGGAACTCTGAGGATTAGAGAAGCCCTGGAGCCAAGAGGGAAGTGGGTAGCAGAACTTACCCACAATGCAGCCTAGCCTAGTAACATAGACAATGACTTTTAGATTACAGCTGTTGTTGTTGTTGTTAAGACCCATGAAGTCGGTTCCAACTCACAGTGAACCTGTATAGGCCTTCTGAGAAGGAACTTGTAGATTTAAACCACTGACCTGTGGTTATCAGGCCAATATTGATCCTACAGCACGATATGCCTTTACAAAAGCATCTGCTGTGGCTAAGAAAACATTCTAGTCATCATTCTCTTAATTAAATGCATCTCCCGTATTTTACTTTACCCTTTTACTAAACCTCCAGCAAGAGTCAAACATAAGTGGGACACAAATTACACTGAGAGAGAAGCACAAAGTTTACCATTAAAATAGTAAAATTATACACATGTTTATTCTTTATATATACATTTCCCGGTACTCTGGACAGACAAGTTACATCACCAAGTGGTTTGTTTAAAAGTAGAAGTAAGTGTTGGCAATAGTTATTGCTAGAGTCAGGGAAATTAGGGAGGTTTCACAATATGAAGGGTACTTTTCGCTCAGTAGTATTGCTTCAGGAGAAATAATATTTCAAAGATCTTTCCTGTAGTTTCCAGAAAAGTCAGCCAGCCAGATTTAGGTTCAAACTTCTTGACAAAGCCATTTTCCTGCAAGAGAAGAAATTTAACATCAGTGGAAACCAAGTCTGCTGGAACAGAAAACAAAGAAACTTTCAGTTAAATAATGCAAAGTGTTTATCTTCTCAATACTTTGAATAATTTTTTTTCTTTTGAGCCTCATGATTGTGGTGCAGTGGTTAAAGCACTCATCTGCTAATCCACAGGTTCAAAACCAATAGCTGTTCTACTCTGTGGGAAAAAGATGTAGTCATCTGCTTCTGTAATTATTGGTTGTTGTTAAGTACCATTGAGTTGATTTCCAATTCAAAGAGACTTGTGGTTAGCAGTTTTGTGCTTATCCTACAGAGCCATACCAGGACCCCTCTGTAAATATTTACACTCTTGGGAATCTTATGGGGGCATTTTTACTTTCTCATATTGTTGCTATGACTTGGAATTGATTCAGTAGCAATGGCTTGGTATCTCCCTACTAGACTCTTCCAAAACAGTACTGTACAATAGAAATATAATATAAACTACATATGCATTTTTTATTTTTTAGTACCCACATTTTAAAAAGTAAAAAGAAATAGGCAAAATTATTTTTAAATAAACTTAATTTATATAACCAAGATATTATCATTTCAATATACAATAATATAAAGATTATTAATGAGATATTTGCATTCTTTTTATCGTACAAAATCTTCCCCAAAAAAATTTGTGTATTTTGCTTTTCCAACATATCTCAACTCAGACTAGTCACACTGGCATTGCGCAACAACCACATGTGACCAGCGGATGCTGGGCTAGACAACACCACTCCTGAGTGCAGTTTCCTTTGTGTTCTTTCTTTTTCCTTCTCTACTGTTTACCATTGAAATATGAATTCATGTTTGTAGACTGCATAGTACTGAAATTTATGAGAACCACAATAAATCCAGATTAAATCATGGCCTTGGAGCCCATGAAAAAGTTTTTCATTGCTTTTTCATCCTATTTTTAATGAAACATGTTTGTTCTTCTAAAATAGGCTACCTTAGTGAAGGGGATGCTGTGTTAATTAATTTACCATTTGTAATTATCCAGTACCCTGACTGAGAAGTGTCTCTGAAATCACCCAACCTAATGCCTCCTCATATTTTTACCAATGAAAAAACAGAGACTCAGTGGGGGAGGGGGGGAGACCAAGTAATTTGGTTAGGCTATCTGCTGGTAGCATTATCCATCACAAGGTTTGCAGTTCAAGTCCACCAGCCACTCTCTAGGATAAAGATGAGACTTTTTGCTTCCATAGATGTACAGCCTAAGAAATTCTATAAAGGTTACTTATGAGTCAGAACTGATTCGGCGGCACGGAACAACAACAAGGCTATCCAATTTCTTAGTGTCTGGGCCTACTCTGGAATCTAAGCACTGTCCTTACTATACCATTACATCAACTGCAAATTTTCAACTACCAAAAGGACTGGAATCCTGGTATGGCACCATAGGATAAGCATTGGACTGCTAGCTGCAGGGTCGGTGGTTCAAACCCAACCCACCAGACGCTCCATAGAAATCTTATGCATCACTAGAAGTCAAAACTTAACAACAACAACCAAAAGGATTAGAAAATAGTGAGCATCCAGCAAACACTGGATCTACATCTAGCAATTCCAGGGATTACAAAGATGCCTTCAAGAAGCTGATAACCAAGCTTGCCTAACAATAAAAAGTAGATGTTTGGGAGGGACCTGAGAGCTCCTGGGTGACTTGGAGTCACCTTCATGAGCATCATCGGCAGAGCAGATTAACACCAATCAAGGGCATTGTCCATCCGAGAGCTTGCCCAAGCAAGTCAGCTGCTGCCTCTGTGTTAATGTAGGTCACGCTCTTTCTCCAGGCTGGGAGACACATGATGTCCCACCCTAACAGAGAGAAGAATTTGTTCCCTCTCTTCTTCCTCTTCCCTCTTGCCCGTGCACACTGGTTTCCCATAAGTTCTAAGTTTGCATCCAATTCATTGTTCATTTTTATAAATTCCATGCTAGGCAAGCATACTCAGGCACTCTGAGATGATGTTTATTCTGTTAACAATGATCATTGTCTATTATAACTGGGTCATTAGCATGTCTTCTTCTTATAGACATTCCATTTCTAAAGAAGAAAACCAACAAAGTAGAAAATAGACAAATTCTATTGTATGAAGATTCAAAAAAAAAAATTAAATCTGTTTTAAAACTTCAAAAACTAGACTAAGGACTTCCGGTTTGGCAGCGGGAGAGCAGAGTCAGGTAGGACAGGATCCATGGGGGAGGGGCTGAAAACCCAGAGACGCAGCTCTCACAAAACTGTACCAGAGCTCCGGATCTAGCATAAGGGTAAGGGCATCAGTTTCCCGCAACTGCAAGTAGAAAAATCACAGTATAAAGGAAAACCTTACGATTTAGAAATCGGTCAAGACACGGGACTCCCTCTGCGGCCATCCCGCCCCGGTGGAAGTCAGAGGGCAGAAAGATGGATAAAAAAATCTGAAGAGAGTCTAAGATTCATGCTGGATTACATGAAGAGGAACAACTTAAGAATTATTGGCATTCCGGGACAGGAAGAATCAGAAAAGTCCACAGAGGAGATAGTGGAAGATCTTCTGGAAGAAAATTTCCCTAACATCTTCAAAGATGAAAAGATAAACACTTAAGAAGCTGAAGGTACCCCAGGAAGGATAGACCCCAAAAGAAAATCACCAAGACATATAATAATCAAGCTCTCCAAAATCAAAGACAAGGAGAGAATACTAAAAGCAGCCAGGGAAAAGAGAAATGTTATCTACAAAGGCAAGCAAATCAGATTAAGCTCTGACTATTCAGCAGAAACAATGCAGGAAAGAAGGCAATGGGGAGACATATGCAAAATCCTAAAAGAAAAAAAAACTGCCAACCAAGAATTGTCTATCCAGCAAAAGTGTCAATCAAATACGATGGTGCAATCAAAACATTCCAGGATAAACAGAAGTGAAGATATTTTGCCAAAGCCAATCCAGTACTTCAAAACATCCTAAAGGTAGTTCTTTGGACTGAAAACCAATAAGAACTGACAACAGCCAGAGATTGACAGGTGTGGCAACACCACCTAAAACTCAAACGACGGATAGCAGAGTCCAGAACAGAACAAAATTACAACAATGAACTCAAAGGACCTGGGAGGTCAACCAAAGATCAAAATAATAACAATGTCAAAGAAGGGGGAAATGTAGGAACAGAGATCAGGTGGTGAGGAGGTCAGGTAGATTATAGGATACAAAAGATTGTCTTAAATGGAGGGAAAAGTTAATAGACTATAGATTATCCCAAAGAAAGTTAATACTTTACAACCTACTATAAAAATGAACTTCTAAGCAGAACATGAAAACTAAGAAGAAACTGACAAGAAACAGCACAAAATAACACAAACTCAGCCCAAGGAGGCATGCAGATCAAAGGAATGAACAGCACTACAAAAAATTAACATAATGGCAGCAATTAATTCATACCTATAGATAATTACATTGAATGTCAATGGATTGAATGCACCAGTGAAGAGACAGAGAGTGGCAGAATGGATAAGAAAACAAGATCCTTCAATAAGCTGCCTGCAAGAGACACACCTTACACACAAAGACAAAAACAAATTAAACGTTAAGGGATGGAAAAAAATATACCATGCAAACTGCAACAATAAACAAGCAGGAGTGGCAATACTAATCTCTCATAAAGTAAACTTTAAGACAAAAACCAGCATAAAAGATAAAGAAGGACACTATCTCATGATCAAAGGGTCAATTGAGCAAGACGACATAACCATAATAAATATCTACGCTCCCAATGAAAAAGCACCAAGATATACGAAGCAAACCTTACTAGAATTGAAGAAAGAAATAGATAAATCTGTAATTATAGTGGGAGATTTTAATATGCCACTTTCGAAAAGAGAGAGAACCAGCAGAAAAAAACTCGACAAAGTTACAGAGGAACTAAATAACACAATCAACCAACTTGACCTCATAGATGTGTACTGAGCATTCAACCCAACAACAGCATAATCTACATTCTTCTCCAGTGCACATGGAACATTCTCCAGAATTTACCATGTGTTACGTTATAAAGCAAGCCTTCATAAATTTACAAACATCAAAATACTACAAAGCATCTTTTCAGACCACAATGTTATAAAACTAGAAATCAACAATAAGAAGACCAAGGAAATAAAGTTGAATACATGGAAACTGAATAACACCCTGCTGAAACGTGACTGGGTAAAAGAAGAAATTAAACGTGAATTTACAAAGTCCCTAGAAACAAGCAAGAATGAAAACACAGCGTACCAAAATCTTTGGGACACGGCGAAAGCGGTGCTGAGAGGACAATTTATTGCAATAAATGCACATATCCAAAAAGAGGAAAGAACCAAAATTAACACATTAACACAGCATCTACAACAATTAGAAACAGATCAACAGAGAGAACCTACAGTCAACAAAAGAAAAGAAGTAATAAAGATCAGAGCAGAAATAAATGGGATGGAAAACAGAAAAACTATAGAAAGAATCAATAGGGCAAGAAGCTGGTTCTTTGAAAGGATTAATAAAATTGACAAACCATTAGCAAAACGAACAACAGAAAAGAGGGAGAGGACACAAATAACTTGCGTTAGAAACCACATGGGTGATGTCACACAGAGCCAAAGGATAATAACAGAATACTATGAAGAGTTGTACTCCAACAAATTAAAAAATTTAGAAGAGATGGATACATTTTTAGAAAAACATGACTTACCTAAACTCACTCAGAGTGAAGTAGAAAACTTGAAGAGACCCATAACAAAAGAAGAAATTGATCAGGTCATCAAAAAGCTCTCAATCAAATGAAGTCGAGATCCAGATGGCTTCACAGGTGAGTTCTACCAAACATTCAGGGAAGAGCTGTCACCAATTCTACTCAAATTATTCCAGAATGTAGAAGAGGACAGAAAACTTCCTAATACTTTTCATGAAGCAAGCATAACCCTCATACCAAAACCCGGGAAGGACA